TTGCTGGAGGAAGTGCATTACTAGGGATGGGCTTTGAGAGTTTAAAGCCTTGGCCCGCTGTCAACTTTTGACCTTGACTTTCTGTGTAACAACATGGGATCAGCCAGCTTCCTGCTGTGGCTGCTTGCTTCCATGCTCTCCTGCCATGGCAAACTCTTACTCTGGTACCATGATCCAAATTAAACTATTTCTTCTATAAGCTACTTTTGGTCCTGGTGTTTCATCACAGCAACAGAAAAAATAACTAATACAGCTGTATAATAAAAATATAACTACATTCAACTTTTTTATGTTATTGAATAAAACAAGATCCGATATCTTTATTCTGCTTTCCCTTAATCCAGAACAGAGGCCTGGATTACGTGAGTACAGTTGTAAAAATGTGATTTGGCTTGGAAAGCACTGTATAATAAGCTGTAAAATCTTTACACATACACATCATTTCAAAGAAATGATATATGCTCTATACTGTCTTTTTAAGGAGTTAGCACTAAAACAACTAGAAACCTACATGTAAATAAATCAGACACAGATAGTACATTTTTCATAGGAATTACATCAAAATCAACAGTCAATTTAAATGTAAAACGTAACACCACTAAACTTTAAAAGAAAACAGAGATTCTACGTACCCTTGGGTATGGTAATACCTTTTTAGTTAGAAAAGGAAAAACTACAACCAATGAAAAAACTACCATTCTTCTTCCCTGATCTTTAAAACTGCTGCTCATGAAAGGTCATATGTAAAACAGGAGAAAAAAAAGCAAGTATCAGAATGGAGAAAATACTTCCTATCATAGAGCATATATAAAATAATAAATACATACATTAAGAACATTTTAAACTCAAGAAGGTCTAAATTCATAAAATGAACAGACACACCTGAGCGACAAACTTATACTGATACAAGAAAACAAATAGAAGACAGTTTACATTGCCTTTTGTGGAGGAATCACCAGTTAAAACTACACTAATATGTAACTACACATCTATCAGAATGGCTCACATCCAAAACACTGACAGCACATAGGGTTCGTGGGTATCTGAGGCCACCAGAACTGTCATATGTTGCTGGTGGAAAGCAAGATGCAGCCACATTGGAAACCTGCTTAGCAACACCCTAGAAAGCTAAGCATTAATTTTATCAAAGGATCCAGTAGTCATATTCTTAGATATTGATCCAAATAAATCCCAAAGCACAAATGAATGCTCAGAAGAATTGTATTCATACTTACAAAAGCTAGAAGCAACTAAAATATCTTTCAGTAAAATGGTACATTAAAAACTAGAACACTATTCAGTGATTAAAAAAAGAAATAAATGAACCACTGGGACATAAGAAGAAACCTTGCTAAGCAAAAGAATCTATGCATCATGTGAGAGCATATTGCCAAGCCGGGAGGTGGTGGTGCACGCCTTTAATCCCAGCACTTGGGAGGCAGAGGCAGGTGGATTTCTGAGTTCGAGGCCAGCCTGGTCTACAGAATGAGTTCCAGGACAGCCAGGGCTACACAGAGAAACCTTGTCTCGAAAAAACCAAAAAAAAAAAAAAAAAAAAGAAAGAAAGAAAGAAAGAAAGAAAGAAAGAAAGAAAGAAAGAAAGAAAGAAAGAAAGAGAGCATAAGCTGGATGTTAGCTAGATTGGTGGTGGCCCGAGCCTGGACATAGGGACAATTCATTTCATGTCCATCTCCAGTCTCACAATAATTATATTGTACCTGGATACTGCATAATGAAAATCATTTATAACTGCCTTTTTATTCTTAAAACACACAAATGAAGTGCAATATCTCAACCATTCTTAAGGATTTAATTCAATAGTGTTAAGTATATTCTCATTGTTAAACTGTCGATCAATGGAGCTTTTCTTCTTGCAAAAGCAAATCAAAACAAATCAAAACAAATAAACAAACAAACAAACCTTTAATGATTCTTGTCAGTTTTCCTCTTGGAAACTACTTGCATATTTTGTTCCTTAATTTTGATTCTTTTACATACTTCATGTAAATGGAACTACACAATATTTTCCTTCTGTGACTGGCTTATTTCATTTGCCATAACATGTTCCACTTTCTTCTATCTTACAATAGTCAACAATTTTTTTTGAGGCTTCATTTGTGGGTAGATGTTTGAGTTGCTTCTACTATTTGACCGTTAGACAACAAAATGCTTCAATGAGCATCAATATTCAAATGTCTCTTCAAGATCCTACACTGAATTCTTTTTGAGGAAATAAAATGAAGTAGCTATTATGATTAATTTTTCTTTTTTCTTTTGAATATTTTATTTATTTACATTTCAGATTTCATTCCTTTTCTCCATTTCCCCTCCCTAGAAACCCCCTATCTCATCCCCCCTCCTCCTTTTTGCTTTTATACCATTTTAATTACATGCAAGTATTAAGGTCAGTTCTAGGTTGAGGAACTAGCAATATAATAGATGAAAATCGTCAAGGAACAAGCAAGACAATAAACACAAATAGTCAGAGAACAAACAAGGCAATATACAAAATTCCATAGCATACATTACAGAATATCTATAATGATAGAACTCAACAAAATTATAGAATCCTGTGCTGAACCTCCAACTGGTCTTTTCAGCCTTTACTTGTAAATCCAATCTCCATCCTGTGGATGCCTCCAGATGACTCATTCAGCTTTGGGGTTGTTTTGTTTTGCTCCCTGATCAGATGCCTTTAGTGGATCCCCAGTATACATTTTCAGCCTCTGTTAGGGCCCAGTCATACTCTTTATGAATCTGTCATTCTCAAACACACTACTTACCATTTGCTGTGTGCATTTTGGCTTTTCTCTCTTCTGGAGTTTTATGTGTAGAAATGTCGTCCCTTCTTCATTTCTACCATTAGAAAGAATAGCTCTCAATTCAAACATCCATAGTCACAGTTGTTTTTAATTATGTTTCCTTTCTTCTACCATCATACAGTTGAGAATAAAGACCATAGTCTCCTAAGTTTTGGATCATGTGACATGACTAGCACAATCATTTGAAAGTTGTAGGCACTAGACAGTTTTGTGTTGTAAAGACAGAAATTTAGCTTCCCAGGTGAGCTGAGTACTGAGGTAAATGGAATACAAATCTCAGCCAGGTTGTTCAGGAGCTGTGGTGCTTTGTAAATGCTCTGAGACTCAAGGTCCTTTTGCAGACTACAGGGTAATGTAGACAGACATAATTAAGTAAATGGATATTGGAAATGTATTAAAAGTGATTATTAGATCGACTCGGGATACAATGTAGATTGTCAAACAATAGTTATCTTCATACTAGAGAAAACAAGAACCCATTTGTCTTAGTTAAGGTTTTACTGCTTCGAACAGACACCATAACCGTGGCAGCTCTTAGAAAGGGCAATATTTAATTGGGGCTGTCTTGCAGGTTCAGAATTTCAGTCCATTTTCATCATGACAGGAAGTATGGCATCTTCCAGGGAAGCATGGAACAGGGGGAGCTGAGAGTTCTACATCGTGATCTAAAGGCAGTTAGGAGAAGAATGGCTTCCAGGTAGCTAAGAGAAGGGTCTTAAAGCCCACCCTCAAAGTGACACACTTCCTTTAGCAAGGCCATACCTACTCCAATAAGGTCATGTCAATAGTGCCGTTCTCTGGGCCAAGCATATTCAAACAGCAACAACTGTTAAGGGGATGGATAGTTCTGCAGTCCTAGTCAAGTGCAAAGGCCTGAAGAATTCCTGCAGAGCCACTGGTCTGCAGATCACTCTGGAAGGCTGGTGAAGCTGGTTTCTGATGTGTTCAAAAAATGTCAGCAGTAGCCACGGTTGAAGTAAGCTGGAGAAGCTGTGAAAAGGATAGGTGTATTTGACAGGATAATGGGAAGGCACTAGAAGAAATACATGGGGAAACGGTCCCCACATTTAGAATCCCCACATTTATCTTCCCTTTCAGATAACCTGATCAAGAAAATGTCTATCAGGTGTGCCCAAGAGCATGCTTCTTAGTTGATTTCAACTCTAGTCAGGTTGACAACCAAGGCTAAGCATCACACAGTTCTTATAATATTCTGTCTACTCTATCAGGTAATAGAAAATTTAAAAGAAAATTCATATTGAGTTGACCTGCGTTGAGCATTTTCAGTACATGGTAACAATATATATTGACTAGTGTTATCTTTCTTAGGATATCTTGAATCTCTTCAACTTAAAAAACATTTAGCCTTAAGTCACCTATTTCTATGATCAAAAAAGACCAGCCAGGAAGACAAATTTGAAACAACGATAGATAAGACATTGTATTCATAATTGGATTTTATTTTGAAATTACTGTGATAACTGCTAAAGTTACAAGCATTTGAGTATCTATGAGATGCCTCTCCACATATCTACTCTCTTATCTGTATAGTGATGACTACGATGTCCATGTAAAATAATGAAAAGCTCATCTACAAAATAATACCAATCCCACACTTCTTACCATCCAAACGCCATTCCTCAGCTTTCCAACAGCGAGTATGGTAAACTTCCGGGAAGTCCAAAAACGTTACTCAGGTGTTTTGTTTTGTTTTTAAAGCCAGGACATCAGAAAAACAATGAGAAGCAAGCTACACACACACACACACACACACACATGCACACACATACACACACACTGTATATAGCATATGTACATAAATAAGTGTACCTATGTATGTATACATGTGTGTATGTATCAATATATATATAATTTACATACACAAAGATAGATAGATAGATAGATAGATAGATAGATAGGGAGTGAGAGGTATAATTTATATTAATTTATACATTTGTGTGTGTAACTGTGTATTTGTGTATGTCTGGGAAGACCTAGGTTCAGCCATACCTGTAGAGCACGGATAGATCTAAGCTTGTCTATTCTTTTAAAAAAGACTTAAAGTTTCTCTGTCTGGGAGCGAAGTTGCCCATGGAGGAAACCATCAGGAGCTTGGCAGACTCACAGCTCTCCTTGGCAGTAACTTAGGTGTGCGCTGCCTGCGGCCCAGGACTGACTGTCCCCGGGTTCCCTCCTTCCTGCCAGGCTGGCCCGAGGCTGTGCTGCGCCGTGCGGAGGCCCTCCCGCGGGAGGCGCGGGCGTGGAGGGCGTGGGCCGTGGGCGGGGCGAACCCCGCAGCCCGGGTGCTGGGAGCTGTCAGTGTCAGGCTCAGGAGAGAGGAAGTGATCGCTCCGGGAGGAGCGCTAGCCTAGCGGCGCAGCGTGAGACAGCACATCCTGCTGGCGCGGGCCCGCTGCTCTCCGTCCTCCCGCGCCTCCTCCACGACCCCCCAGTGAACCTCCGCGGATAGCATCCAGGTAATCCATGGGTGGGAGGGAGATCGTGTCTATGCTCAGCCACCTCCGCGCCCCTCGCCCCAGGCGACATCTGCAGGACACCCGGGAGCTGAACGGTAGCCGTGACTGCGGCAGCCACCTCTGGGCACAGCCTGGGCCCCTTTCCCCATGCTCCTGCATAGTGTAGTGCCCCAAGCTGGAGCCCTCCAGCGGCAGCCCTGGCTGCAGCTCCCCAGGAGCGGAGAGGTACAGGCAGAGGAGGAAGGGTCAAGGGTGTCATCACCTTGTAGCCCACCTTGAACACTGGGAGGGGCATGGCAAGGTTCCTCACCTTGGTTTTCTTTCTCCCTGGGAGCAAAATGCCAGCGACTGTGCTGTCCATATCCCTGTGGGCTACTAGCTCATGGCCCCTAGAAAGGGAGACCTGCAGAGTGAGGGAAAGGATGCTGCTTGATTACATTTCTGAGCTGTCTGCAAAGCTCTAGGATGCTGTTGCTACCCGCCAAGTCGGAGGGGGCCAATGCACTTCCAACCGAGCTTTAATTAAACACTCATGCAAGATGCCAGTTTCTTTCTCTGCTGGATAAAATAAAAGTATGGCTGGGGCTATGTTTTGGTAAACACCTCCGCGGCTCTCCTTCCCCCACTCCCACCCGGAATTGCTCTGGCCATGTAAAGCTCCAAGTCGTCACCAGAGCACTGATCCTAGGAGAGCTGATGAGGAACTGAGTGTGCGGGAGTCTCATGACTCTTACCTCGGCAAACATTAACCGGAGACTGAGGACCAGGAGAGGGTATCACTTAGGAAACCGGAGGCTCAAGGAAAGGCAGAAAATCAAATAAATATACTGACTCTCCTGGACTGTAACCACACCTAAGGCAGGAACAAGTAGCCAGCCATTTTCTTGCTGGAGTTGTGTTTGGAATGAGCATTACAGACTTGATGCAGCTTGAAGTTGTGAAGGAATTGCTTCCAGACATTGCAGACTAGCAGGAAGCTTAGCTGACAGAGTAGCTTGCCAGGGACAGTCCAAGATAGCTTTCGATAACAACATGGATATGACAACCCTCCCCCGGAATACTTTTGTGCAATTGTGGAAGTTATTGTGGGAGGGGAAATGTGTTGATCAGTATTAGAGTATTGGTAACTTTGAAATGGGAACACCCAGTGTAATTTGCATCCCCCGGGGTCTTCTTGAGAATGTCTGTAATACTTCTTCTGGTTTTTTGTTTGTTTGTTTGTTTGTTTCTTTCTTTCTTTCTTTCATTTGTTTGTTTTAACAATTCCTAGTTTGTTCCTAAAGGTTTACTCTAGGGAAACCGAGTTGTCTCTGTTCTTCTGACTATTCTTAGTGGAACAAAATCTGGCAGTCCAAGGTATGAGGCAGTGTTCTCTTCACTAGAACAAGCTCTCCAAGATGTCAGATCCGGGGAGCCAGTGATCAGGAGATACTCTTTTAAAAACTCATCCAGCACAATACGGGAGTATCGAATGCACCCCTTTCCAACCTGCCCGGGGCTGGGCACTATTTTTGTCCCAGAACATTTTGTGCATGTCTGTCTTGTTTCCGGGTTCTGTCTTCTGTGTACCTGTATGAATCTCTCGGATGCTGAAGTCTTTTGTGCATTGGCTTCCTGAGGCAGAGAGGGCTGGTTCATGACTTCTGCCCAGTGCCTGACCTGACCCCTTTCCTATTGAATATATGTCATGGGTTGGTTTCCCGTTAGAACCTTAGTTGAGTCTTTATGGACAATCATGTTGAGGTTATGGACAGAGAAGAGAAGAAACTCGATACACAAGTTGAACAGGTCAGAGTCACTAAATTGTGCTTTTTTCTGACAAGCTTCTAAGATGGTAGAAGGGCCTTTCTGCTAGCATGCTGTCTGTTTAAGAGGAGGTACTATGAAATTTCTCCTAGTACCTGTCTTTTCTAAAAATATCAATTCCCTTGGCTACACATACTGAACATTCCCCCCCCCTGAGTCCAGTGTTGATCAAGACATTCGTAGGAAATCCACACACTCTGTGCATGTTCGGACAGCTATGTAGGCCAATAGTGCAAAATCAATGCCATGCTTTTAGTCTCAGGCTGGTCACATAGCACAGGCATTACCCTTTATCCCTATGGACCACTCGCCTTTCCCTGTATCTTTTTGTCACATAACTGAGCATCAAGTGAAGGGATCAAAGACATCCATGGAAAGCTAAGTATCTTGTCTTTCTGCTTTATCCTTCTCACACTGTGTTCACTAAATATAGCCAAAGCTGATAAGAGCAGCAGCTACATGTGCTGAACCCTTTCTCGTGAATCCCATTTTAAATATCCTCTCATTTGTATTAAAAAAAATCTCATAGGAAAACTTATGACACAGGCATTGCTTACAATCTCTTTAAGGAATTAGGTCATAGTGATGTCAAGTAACTTCCTGAAGTTTACTCAAGTTAACTGGCTAGGGTTTTTTGATGCAGAAGCCCAGGTCTCCACTTTTAACCACACTTCCAGACTATGAAGCAGTTCTAACTGATTTAATTTCAGATACTGGGTAGTAGGTTCTGTTGATGTTGTTGTGTCTCTTTTTGTCCTTAAGTTGGCTCCACAAGACAGAGAACATTTAAACATGAAGCAGAGTTAAGTGAGATAAAGAGATCACAGTTAATAGAAGTAGGAGTCTGACCAGGTCGACCCCGGAACTCATCCATTTTGGTTACTGTTTTGTGATAACAAGAATAACAAAAAGTAGACTGTTACTGTCCTGGCAATAGACAACTCTTAAAGTGAGACACTTGGGCAACTCTTAAAGTGAGACACTTGGGCTATCAGACCATTGAAACAATGCACACCAACTATTTAAAAGCCATCCCCCCCCCCAGAGTCAATCAGAGGAGTAACTTGTCTCCTAGGAAAAGATTTCACACTTGACATTTGGAAAGCCATCTTAGAGAGGAACCTGGAGCCTAGCAATGACTCGGTAGGACCACTGCTCAGTTACACATATCTCTTGCCACTAACTCAACACAAACCAGTCAGTACTTCAAAGAGAAGCTTAAGGGGGTGGGTCACAAGATCCCTTTGTTTGTTTCTCTTCCCAAGGAAGTAATGTTGAGGGAATCTCCCTTCTGTGCTTTTCACCATTACTTATCCTTTAAATCCTTTTTTTTTTTTTTTTTTTTTGTCTTGTCAAGGATGAGTTGCCTAGCATAGCTCCTTGGAGCTGGCAGGGTCGACATTCACCATAAAATCTCCCCTGACATTTTCTCTTAGGTTACCCTTGAAGCTGCAAGTGTAGCCATATTTTCCTCACCCAAGTGGTAACTGTGGATGACATCATAAATGCAAACTCCATTTATTTACCCTTTGGAATAAAACATTGAATACTCATCCCCCCCCCCCACTTAAAAGAAGGTTTCGAAGCTGTGTAAATTGTTGCTTCTCTTGACCACAAATTATTTTTATTAAAAACATGTAGTCTCTATATCACCTAGAAAAGTGTGAACATGTGTTTGTTTGGGTTCATTCGTGGAGTAATAAACAGACTGATATTTTGAGTTACTCAGCCCCTCCCCCCATACCTCCTGGGATGATGATGATGATGATGATGATGATGATTATTTTGCTTTGCTATGTAAGAAGGCTGATTTGAGAATGGCAATGTAAATCTTGCCATAATGTAGACGCCACTGCCTATGAACTAGTCTGGAAGAGAGCCCGGGTAGTACATGGTCACCCTGATTTTCATTGTTACTATTATTATTATTGTTATTATTTTATTACTGGAGTTGACCTTTTATGTCTGTAGACAATGGAGAGGAGGCACATTGAAGTATTCAATGGTTAGGCATTTAATCGGGTAACACTGATGAATATTTTATGCATTTCTGCATAGATATTTTAAAGGAAATTTAAGATATTTTTAAATAATATGAGATTAAGAAGCATCGGTTCCTAAGGAGTTGGAGCAGGGGTTGGCGGGGGGGGGGGCATAGAGGTCACTGCTGAAACGTATCAAGGCAAAAGCACTGTACCAGGACTAGCCAAATGTTCTTATCTGTCATATATCCAGCATTACACCCAGGTGTCAGGTATATCTACATAAGTTCATCTTGCATTCAGGTGATGCCTCCAGCAATGGCCATGGCTTGAGCATTGGTCCACTCTTCTAGCACTTACCCGGAGTATAGTTTACTGACACAGTAGTTCATCAAATCACCAAACACCCCCGTAAGGTAGATGCTCTTATCTTCTTACACAAACAAGGAGATGTTTAGAAAACCCAGCGGCTTGTCCCAGGCCACATGAGGCCAGCTAAGGAAGTGCTAGATTTCAAATACAGATCAACCGAACTCCAGAGTTCCTTCATTCTCTTCCTACCACATCTCATTGTCTCTCCATCCATGTGTGCTGCCAAAAGTGCCTTTTAATGTAGCTTTTTGTTTATTATGGCAGCACTCGGCATCCTTCCAGAACTCACTCAAGCACTGATAGGAAAAGGCTGACTGTATTATGAGAAAGAACACAGGACTTACGCATTTCTCATTGTGACCTATCTTCATTGACTGAAGATTAAGCCTTACTCATGTAACTTTCGTGTGTTTCCAGACATCTTGTAGAATATAACAGCCCTTATCTAACCCAGTTCAAAGACAATCTGCCCAGGGCAACAGCAGCTCAAGACTATTGCAAAGATGAATTTCCTTCCAGGCTCTCCCATATTCTGGGACTTTTCGGCTACAGCAACAATGCTGTGGTCTGAAACACTGGCTCTGTACTAAATCCTAGGAAGTTTTGAACGTACCATACATCCAAGGCTCTGTTTACAGTTCACAGCAATCCTGAAGTTATATTGCAGAAATGGAGAGATGGAGGGCAGGATGCTCTCACATTCAAGATTCTGCTTGGGGCTTGGCATCTTTAAATTCTGCTGTTTTCTTCAGTACTTTCATAGCACATCCCATTGTTTTGTTTTGTGATATAGAATAGCTAGTACTATCAGCATGACAAATGCATAAAGCATTTCTACTA